CACCGTCTATCCCTAGATACACGTCAACAGAACGTCGTATTTTAACATCAAGAATTTGAACCAGTGAGTAGATGTCATCTGAATTCACATTGCAGGAACCGTTCCACGTCCAAATTGTACATTGCCTCAATCCGGTGAAGAACTCTCTGTGTGTGTTTCGGCAGCGACAGAAATCGGTCTTTGAGACCTTCGAGGCGCACTCTTGACGAAGAAGCTTGGTTTTTGAAATTTCGTCTTGGCTGCGCTCGACGGCGCTCTGACTTTGGGCGTCTATCTTTTGGGCGTCTATCTTCCAGGAACTTCAAGAGACGGCGAAGCTTCTCCGCACTTGGAAGTCCACCGATACAGAGGGAGAATTTAATGGCGACCCGGTTCATTTGGAGGAGAGATTCGCGATCCTGTGAAAGACGGTGGACAGCAGCGTGGCGGATGCCAGAAACCAATCTTTGCCATTTTTGTATGGTGTTAGCGGCTTGACGGCAAGAGCTACACTGTATCTTGTCCCTATGTTTCACCAAGAATTTGAAAAGACCGTGTAGCTCCAGTTCCTCTGGGCATGTCCACCCAACCGTAAGAGACTCCTCTAAAAGCCATTTGTGAACGAATTGAATGCATCGAATTCAAGATGGCGCTGTATGGCTTGGAGAATAAGATTTTGTGCACGGAAAGGGATGCTTGTTATTGGAACTCCGAGAAGTGAGTATAGACCTTGTAGGACTGTTGCTCAAGCCCACAGATTAGTCGGCGCGCTCCTAAATTTGTAACTTGAACTTACTGAAGATGGTATCGATCTTCCCTCGGCAACGTTCAATCCATTGTTTTACCAATCTGAAAGCAGTGCGTTAGTAACAACTTCCAAATTGGGAAGACTTGTCGTGAGTTCTTACCGCTTACTCACAGGCTGAGATAGCCAAGAAGATCTGGTCGAAGTGCCTCCGGCCACATACCGACTTACTGTGAAAGAAACAGTGCTAGTCTCAGACTGGCCTTGTTTGTTGGTCGCTGTATCATTCTGATTCCACTGAATAGAGGCACTTGGATGCGATCGCACTTCATACGATTGGCCGCCGCGCGGAACATCCTTGGCTGTCAAAGCTTGGTCTTCAGGCAGTTTTGGCACCTGTACATGGAACGTTCCTTGTCGCTGTTGCCGACTTTGACGCCTTAGGCGTGCCATCCTGGAAAAATTGAGAAGACGATTGGTCTCCTTGGTGGGAGAGCAACTGGAATATTAATCGGACTGAGTTTTACAACAAATTGCCATGCGCCAGTGAATTTAAGGGTTATTAATTACGGGATCCATGGAATCATTGTCTGCGTGCGACCAGGGTACCAGCAGAATGTGGTAGTAGCGTTGCAGTCTCGCGAGGTGGGTGGCGACCGACGAGGAACCAAATCCTAGCCCTTGGTAGCTCAACTGGTTCACATGGTTGTCCTGAGAACTGGGCTCGGGTTCCTATCGTTGGCTTTGCAGCAAGGTGCAAACTTTAATCTACTTTCTGTCTAAGAAAGACAATCATAATCTGGGATTTGGGGCTATTTTCGTTGTATCTGTGCCGCCAGGTAACATAAATCCCGTTGATGGCAACATGAGTTGGCTGCAAGCAGGCATAGGAACTAAATTTCACTCATAAAGTGCGGTGCTGCAGCATGGAAATAGCTGATTCAAGTGGTGCTCTGAAAAAGAAGCCAACCACGGGTACAATTGAGAGTGACTGCCGGCCTCAAAATCTCCCAAACTGTAACTTGAGCTTCCGTTGAAGCACTTCAACCTCCATTAACGAGAAGGTGGGGCTTTCTGTGGCCGCAGTTAAATACAATCCCTGGCCAGCCCAGCAGAAAGAAGAAGGTTGAATTTAAAGCAGCCTAGGCAGATCTTGACTTCTTCACTCGTTGTCGATATATTAGAAGTTTGAACACAGCCGAAATCTGCCTCTGATCAACGTTGACCTTATTAACAGTTCAACGCCGCCATCTAAGAAGCACAGCAGTTACTCACATCAAAGATCATTATATCGATTACAAAAACCCACCATTATTTGTCTTCGGGCAGCCTCGCTATTCGGAAAAGGTGTCACTTTCGCCTGCAAATACTCAAAAACATCCAGAAAAATTTGATTGTACTTCGGTATTGTATAAGAAAGCAAGATGCTAACGGGCTTCATAACACTAAGGTGTCATAGAACATCGAATCTTGAATTTGATGGAAAGGGTTATTAGAAGCGTCCAATTTGGATAATGATTATTACGGCCACCTTTTCAACACCTCAACAGCTCAACACCACCTAGCTGGACCAGATGCTGCGACCCTTATTACATATATAACATGGTCGACTAAATTTTCAAGTGCCTTTTATTCTGCTTCAGGTTTTCTATCGCCTGATACATAACGACCAACAGCTTTTGGTCCGTTTAGCCCAAGCAAATTGGAGAAATCCCTTCATTCATTCTATTGAGTGACAGGTCAGCCATCTATCCAAGCATCTCGCGATGTCTCTTCTCTCTCTCCCACCGGAAATTATTTTGCTCATTTCAAGCAATTTGGACTCGCCAAAAGACCTTCTCGGCTTCCTCCGAACGAGCCAAAAGCTCTACCATGTCTTGATCACTGAGCTCTACCAACATAACATACGCTCGGATGGTGGACCGGCCCTTTAAGGTACGCAAGTCGTGGGGACGAACTTGGAGTCCGGAACATGCTTCGTGCGGGTGCGGATGTTAACATCCGATCACCAACTCGCGCACAGTCGACAGCTCTTCTGGAAGCGGTTTCTACCAATCATACCAGTGTTGTACAAGCCCTTCTAGAGAATGGGGCTTTGCCAGATGTGGCCGATGCCCGATCTAGACGACCCTTGGTTATGGCGACAAATGGTCGTAGCGACGTGGCGATCACCAAGTTGCTCCTAGATCACGGCGCCATAGCCAATTCCGTTGCGTTTGACAAACATGCTCCATTAAGGGAGGCTGTCCGTTCAAACCAGGAGTCCAAAGTGGCATTGCTTTTGAAGCATGGGGCTGATACACATATCTTGGACCGCCGAACTGGGATGAGCCTCGTGCACCTCGCGGCTTCCAAGAACGCTACCCCCGGAATTATCGACATCCTCATAGCATTTTTGGTGGCTAGGAATACGCGTAAGGTTGCAAAAGTAGGAAATTTGCAATATGGCTGAGAATTGCAATTTGGCTGAGGGACACCCCCTACCCGAAGGGTGGGGGGTCGTCCCGTGACACGGCTATATGATACCTTCCCTCTTCTACCTAGAATGATCCCAACAGGCCGGTAAATTGCTTGGGCGGTAATAAATATTCTCTAAAACAGAAAAGAAAATTAAAGGGAAGAAAATGCACATATTGGCTGATATTAAAGTTGATGTCTTTTGTGAAGAAGCGGGTAGGAGTTGAATATTGACAAGCAGCTGACTGCTGACCGCTCACGTGCATCACCAGCTCACGGCTGACGGATCCCCCAAGACCGGATTGGGCTTCAATGGTTGCCAATCATTTGACGACTGCAACCATGCCACGGCTAATGCTATGTCCCTCGTCGGCTAAAAAGCCTCGAATGCTGAGCTTTCCCAGCAAATCGTCCGATGCAAAGCCACCATCCTCGAAAAAGTTGTTATCGTCGAAGAGAGTGGTTCAAGGTTTGTCTGCAGATGTTGTGGATGAAAGAGACGAGAGGGAACTGACCATACGATGACTCCGTTAGAATCCTATACCAATTCACCGCCATCTTGTGCCAAAGAATCTCGAAAAAAACACACTTCGTCCCAGTCAGAACACGAACTCGATCAATTGTCAATTGACTCAATCGAGACTATCGATCTGACCGGAGAAGTTCCTCTTCCTTCCTTGTCAACGACTGAACCCCGCGCCCGCGAACCATCTCGACCACGGAACGAGGGAGCTATATCATTCCAAGGCTGTCGCCAAAATCGGGGCAAGAAACGGAAGAGTAACGAATGCGCACCGGGCTTGCTTGCGCTCTCTGGATATCCCTTAAACATCGAAACCCTCTCGGAGGTAAACTCGTCACCACTCGCAAGAAACGCTTCTGCACAGCTGCCGGCAACGCCGAGTCGTCATAGTCCGCCTAACGATGCCAAGCTGTCTAAAGGAACGATCGCGAACGAGAACAACGACGACGAGTCATCTGATACCTGGTTCGATATTGACACCATATTCCCGGGTGCCGGATTAGTGTGGCCCCACAGCCACCTCGAAGCAACTCCCGAGGAGGTAGAGAAACGGAAACCACGCGACAGTCCAACTCGCAATTTGTATTCGAACGATGCCACACCACCGCCACCTTGTATTGCACGGGATAACAATCCGTCGCAGCCGCAGAACCCAGAATCATTCCCCATCAGGATGGTCTCTAGTATTCAACAAGCAGACAACTCTTTCATGAAATTTTTGGCTATTCACTCGGAGACCCTGGCCCAATTGATGTCAATTTTGAAAGAAAAGCTCCACAACAACGCAGAAGTTATCTACCAACAGGCGATCGAAGGCCGACCAGCACCAGATCTTATCGCCGCAAATAAGGATCTTGTCTCCCAAATACAAACCATGGAATCCTTGCAAACGAGCAGGAGTGCTTATCAGAATTGTGCGACGCGCAAGGAAGACTTCAAGCAGAGCCTGATGCGTGTGATTTCCGAGGGCTCGGACCCAACAACCATGCTGGAGCTAGCACAGAGTCGAGTCTTCGAGGCTGAAATGGGAAATATTGAGGCCCAGATCCGCGAACTTCTCTCTCAAGCCAAGATCTTTGACATGGCTTGCAAATTAGGTATAGAGAATCTCTCGACTTCACCGAATAGATCTCACGCTCTCGAATAGCCCTCACAAATCTCAGGATTATGCAATCATTGAAAGCCACAGTTTGGTCGCATGCACTGGAAGAGAGATCCTGGCGGTCAATGACCTACATTAAAACCAAACACCACGGAACGACACAGCGAGGGAATTGACTATTTATTATGCGTTGATTAGTGCTTTTTCAGCCACTGGTACACCCGGTCTGCGATCTCAAGGTTGTTCTTCTCCATGAAGAACATGTGTCCGTTGCCATGAATACCCTCGTTGCCTAGATCTGCGTACTCAACGTCTACGCCAACTTGCTCCAGATACTTGACGGTGCAGTAATCGTATGGCGCATGGAACGATGCTTCGCCTGTAACAACAAGTTCTGGGATTTTGGCCGGGTTCGTCAACTGCTTCGCTGGGGCCTTCTGCATGATGCACTCGTCGTGTTCAGTGTCGATTGCTGGCTCGATGGTTGTCTCAATATTTTCGGCATTCTTGCCTGCAGACGGTTCGTATCCGATTGCGAGGTCGGTGAGACCGAAAGCGAAAGCTGGGTCATTTCCAAACGGCGGGCGGAGCGTGAACGGTGGACCAGACGGCTCGAGCTGGATAATACCCTTGACTAGGTCTGGGCGCATGTCTCCGACCCTCCAGCTTACTGAATCATTAACCACTTCAGCGAGTCATAGTGTTTGGCTGAAATTACCGTATGCACCCGCCTGCGAGTGACTGATGATATAACAGTCGCCTACGAGGTCGACTAGAGCTGAATATGCCTGCGCATTTTGTTCTTCGCTTATGAAGTGGTCCGTCTGGAACTGCATCTGGCTCTAGTAGAAAGCGTCGAAAGTTGAGTCGCCACTGCGACCGGTGCCAGGCCATTGCGTGTGAAGCTTCGCCTGTGGCCATTGGCTGTCGTTGTTTGCTACGTCGGTGAAATTATCAGAGACAGAGTGCTCGACAGCGTTCCCAGGACCGCTAGCCCGTTGCTACGTCAGCAGGTAGGAGAAAGCGGATGCTTGGCTGGTGGCCACCAGTGTTGTATAAGCTTCTGCTTTATCTCATCTCGCCTTTGCCTGTATTCTTAACTCAAAACACTCAACAACTCATTGCCATCACCCGTCATCTTCGAACCAACAAAAGCCTTCTAAGCAGCACGTTTTGTCCCCTTTCGCTAACTGAACTCGAGCGCCCAAAATCATGGTATGGATAGTACGCATGAGAGGAGCCTTCCAAATGCTGACAATGTCATGCAGATTACTATTCTTGACTGCCCAGCAGAGATCGTTTGGATCATAGCCAGCTCCTTGCAGGGAAGCGATATTTCTGCTCTTGCTCGTACACATTCAACGCTCTATCCCAAGCTACGCCTAGCACTGATAAAATATAATATTTGGCATCCAAAAGGTTCTGCGCTTCATTGGGCCGCCAAAACCAACAATCGCCCCTTTGCAAAGACCTTGCTTTCCTACCGAGCCACGTAGATGCGATGGTCGATAATTTTTCTCCTCTCATGACAGCCGCAAAACATGGTTCAGACCTGGTTACCATATTTTTCTGCGTAAGAGAGAGCCGCGCGTGAATACGAGAAACGCGAACGGCCTGTGTGCTCCGTGGTACGGCGTGGAGAAAGGGTCATTTGCGGTCGTGAACCGGCTCCTTCAATACTCTCGTGTTAAGACTGATCTTCCAAATTGCCAGGGCTAAACAGCGCTCTGGCTTGCTGTCTACCGAGGCAACAGAGAACTGGCAAGCCTACTACTCTCAAGAGGCGCCAACCCCGATATCAAGAACATCGACAGTTCCTCGCCATGGATTGAAGCATACAGCAGCAATAAGAACTCCATCAAAGATCTGCTCCTAGATTTCATGTTCGCTTAGTCCCCCGAGAGGACTTCAAAGGATGCGGATTTGCCCGAACGAGGCCAGGACAGTTATCTCACGGACAAGGCCACGTTCGGCTACCAACGAAGCGTGTGAGATTTGCCCGTGTCTGACGATATTTTCCGACCGGAACGGCTCACTGGCTGTCTTTTGTGTTATCTTATTCAATTCGAGAACGAGAATTAATAACACAAGACACAATACGATGCGCATATTTGATTTGTAGATTGACTAATCATCACCTGTTGCCTTCACTCAATCGTACAATCTCAATAAGCTGCTTACCTTCATACATGTGTATTTGAATTCAATCGAAGTGTACAGCGCACATTGAGAGCAGGGCGAAGGCAGTGATCGGGGCAAATCTATTGAGGTTAAGAGGGGCCAGAAGTATATGGCGATATCCGGCGGTAACAGTAATCGTAGTGAGTACCTTGCTAGTCAGTGAACGTGGATGATGTTTGGCTGTACCAAAAAAGATACCCCTAGCGATCCCCTCAGATGGAGCTGCAAATTGTCTCCAATTTCTGCAATATCTGCCGCAGAACGAAACATACCCGATTGTAATATGTCGCCGGCCAGCTGACAACAGGAACTGATGTCGTCCGCAACCACGCATCACGACGTTCATATGCGCTTGAACTGCTGTAATATGAGGCTGGTGCAGACCAGCAACATAGCCGCACCACCGGAATTAATCCTGAGTTGTCTATACAAAGAATCAAGTTGATTGAAAATCAGCTTGATCCTCTTGTCATATATATAGCCTCATGTTTCCTTCTCAACGAACAATAAAATTAATTCCTCTGAATTAGATCATGGACGATTCTAGATTATGATAAGCAGTCTTGTTGGCCGCGTTCACCAGCATCTTCAATTCGCCCTCATCCCCCAATTGCTCGGACGGTTTGCTCTGATTGGTCAGCAGGTGACTCAAAAGGGCTTGGCGGTCAAGGCTTACGCGTAGTAGCATCTCCGGTGAATTGCATCTCTTCAACTCGTCAGGCAGACTCTTTACTTCGGCACTCCATGGGTATTGCGAAGGATTCTTCATGATCAGTCTCTCCACCACCTCCGCCACAGCAAACAGTTCCATTGTGGCTGCGTCCATCTCGGCTGCATCGATCTTGCAACTTTGTTCCACTCCCGCTGCCACATGGCTAATTGTCAGAATCTCATGCTCACGTGATCCCGCCAGTTATGCTCAGATATCCACTCACCGACCCTGACACCACCGAACTCCGTGAGTAACAAAGTACCAGCACTCAAGACGGCGAATGCTCTCCCCTGGTAGGGGTCGGCACGAATAACGAATATATTCGTATTCGTTACAAATATTCGCAATTCGCATTCGTATTCGCAGACATTTTGCACGACGAATGCGAATGCGAATAAATTTTCTATTCGCCGCGAATATTCGCAAGTTCGGTCACGTGGCAAAAGAATAACTAGTGAGCAGTCACAGCCCAAGTGACAAGACTTCACTTGATGTTCCGTGCCTTGCGAACAATGATCCACAGAGGCTTTATACTACTATATCCTTCGAAGCAAAGCAGCGGCTGGTTGGGAATACCAGCAAGACGCTCTAGGATTTTTCACTGGGTGTTCTCTGAACTATATATATCTCTCAACAGCATCACTTTCCGCATTGTCCCACCTTTTAGAGAATGTCGACGTACTCCTAACAGATCCCTACCACGGCTAAACAACCTCTCTACTGCGACTTCAGCCGCCGGAATGGCAAGGTAATCCCTGGCTGCAGCTGCCATCCGCGGATACTCATCGTTGTGCGTCCTCCACCAGCCAAATAACCAATCTTCATCCTTTGTTACAGATTCATCAACAGTCACCACACCTTCCTCAAAGTAGCGGTCAATATCTGAACGCTGGATCACTTGTGGTTGCAGCTTCTGCAGAACACGAGCCTCCAGACTTTGCCGCTTGTTGTCCTGGTTAATCTTTGACGTTGATTGCTCCAGTGATGATTTCGATGGGTATTGCTCATGCAAGGTATCCTTGATGGATCGAATAACCTTTGGCGCCGTCACCTGCCCGAGCTCCTTATCCAACAAGAGGGTTTTGAAGCGTGGGTCAAGGACAAGAGCTATATAATAAGCATCTTGGGCGTCCATCAGTTCATAATATTTCTTGTATTTCTTCATCCCCGCGGAGATGGCGGAGGTAATGTCAGAGCTAAGCCCCGAAAAGTCGCCTTGTGCAGAAGCTGCATCTTCGAGCATGTCATTCAGTTCGTAATAGATGGGAATGGCTAGGCTGATCTGGGATTTCCGCCGGGAAACCAGTTGAGTGAACTCATCGAACTTGGAGAGGATCATTTCGAGCTGTTGCAGCTGCAACCAGTCGTCAGCTGAAAATGGCGGAAACTGGTTCTGATGCTCTATCCACATCCGGATCTGTGCTTTGGCTTGCAAGGCTCCCTGGACCATACGGTATGTGGAGTTCCAGCGGGTTTCCACGTCATACTCGATGAACTTGTCGTTCAAGCCATTTGCTTGGCAAGTCACTTTCCACTGCTGTCGTCGTTGAGGTGTCCTCAATATCCAGAGAGTCATGATCCGAATCCGGGCTAACGCAGACTGCCGTCCGATTTTCTTATTTCCCTGTAAGAGATCACAGGCTTCAATGGCAGACTTGTGATCTCCAGATTTCATCCTCGAGAGGATGTCGCGGACAATGAGATTGAGGACATGTGCAAGACACCGGATGTAGCTGTCAATACCTTGAAATCGGAGACGTCCTTTATCGGGCAATTTGGAATCCTCCGAGTTGTACTTTTCCAACAGGTGAAAATACAGCTCAGACACCAGCGTTTCATTATTCGACGCATTATCAGCTGTGATTGTGAGCAGCTTCTCCTCAATCCGAAGCTCGACAAGCATCTTCTGCAGAGTCTCCGCCATATTTTCTCCACTGTGGGATCCAGCAAGTTCGCTGAACTCCAGGACTCGTTCTTGATATTTGAAGTCGGTGGACACCCAGTGACCGATAACTCCCAGAATGGCTTTATGGTTCTTGCTTGTCCAGACATCCAAGGAAAGCGCAATTGTGGAGCATGTCCGTGCTAGTTCATCGATCAACTGGACCCGACAGCGATCAAAATCTGCGTCAATGCGGCGGGCAACTGTTCGAGAAGAGAAAGGAAGAGGAGCGTCCGGCAAGTCCTTGAATATCTGTTGGAACGCAGGGGACTCAATTGCCGTAAATGCCACATCATCTGTCACAACCCATCGAAGTATGTTCTGTTCCAACAGGGCTCTAGTATCATGCTCGGCTCGGGACTGGAATATTGAAGCAATTGAGTGCTGTTTCGTCTCGCTGGAACCCTCGCCCAGGTCCTCTGGACCGGACTTTTCGAAAATGTTGTGTTTGGCTAGGTGCGTCTTCATGTTGGTCGTAGATGTTGCCCTTGCCGAATCTGTGGTTTTCCAGCCACAATGAATGCATTGAATCTCTCGATCCTCAAGCAGCTGTCGGCTTCGCCTGGGCCGCCATTGCTTGCCCGGAAGAGGACTAACTCGAAATTGATTCCAAAGCCATTGATTCAGTGGCTTAATGCGGGCTTTTCTGTGCGATTTGTATGGCCGTATGGCCTCTGTAAAGCATCTAGAGCTCCCTGGTGGAACAGATTCCGACGGAGTAGGTAGATTGAGATGCAGCTGGCTGGCGGAGTCTTCAGGACCAATCGATTCTAAGCGACCAGGTGGCGAATCCAGTCGGGATTTCTTTCTGATATGATCTTCAATATCGTCTTCGTCACTTCCACCATTTAAGAAGTGGTAGTCTATTCTCTGAGACCGTTGGGGGCGTGGTGGCAATTCAACAGATGAGCTGCCGGAGCCATCATTGTTTGAAGCTGGCAATTCAGCACCAGACATTCTGAGCTCTATTACCGTCATCGAAACACGTCCTTGAAATAAACTTGTCAGATTCGGACGCGACTTGTCACTTGGATAAACAAACTGCACGTGATATACTTTTTCCTATTGGGTGGGAGTTAGTTTTGGTGACGGGGCAATATTTGTACGAATATTCGTACGAATATTGGCCTTGCGAATACGAATATTCGTAGAGGTCTGTGATCTACGAATGCGAATGCGAATATCTCAAAATGTTACGAATATGTATTCGTGCCGACCCCTATCCCCTGGCCGCGCAGATATTGAATTCCTTCGAGGACCTATCGGGCATGAGCATCGTTTGGTTTTTCATGTCCACCCTTGAGAGTAGTACGTACCGGCCGAACAATTGCAGTAATCTGACACACAGTGATAGTGCACCTTGATGCGAGGATGTGACTCACCGAGAGCTCTACTGGCTCCCAGACCAGAAATACCTGCTCCTCCCAACAATAGCACGCGCGTATTATCAATCCTTTTGACCCTGGAACCATGCTTATTTGGTCGAGCTTGGATCACCCGAAATTTGGGGGGCGACGGTGGGGGAGAGGAAGTGAGCGCGGGTGGCGCTGCCAAGAAAGGTGCTGGAGGAGGTTGTTCGTAGACGAAGTCGCAGTTTTCATAGGAGGTAGCAAGAAACCTATTCTCCACTACCGGAGGGTACCCTGAATAGGTAATGTTGTGAGGTGTATGAACTTGGGTAACGCATCTGACCAAATGAGAACTGATCTTGGGTCCGATGTTGATCCGGAGTGGAGGCTTTGAATGGAGCCGCGACTTTCCCCAAGTATATTGGAAAGGACCTCACAGTGCTGCCCAACAATGAACTGTATATATGACGATGGCGATAATGAAAATGATGGTTCGACCTTGCCGGGGAGTAGGATGGGCCTTTACTATTGAGGATTCGGGGGAGGGGAATGGGGCTTCTTTCTCGCTCTCAGAGCATTGTACGAGTGAGAGCCTCTAACTACACATGAGTTTAGGCCCTCATGCTCTCATTTCTATTGGAAGATAGCGTAGATGAACCAAACTTTGATCTTGCCTGAAACAGTTGGCCCGAGGTAGCCGCAACTGGCGTCAATGTGGACCTGAAGCATAAGCAGTTCCATGAAACAGGTCATATGGCTGATCCTTGTCTACAGGGGCCCGCAGAACCTAGCAGATCTGTTGTTTCCACGTCCAGCCGCATGGACAACTTCTGAGTACATAAAATGCCAAGACATTCGTGGAAATTACTAGGGGTAATCTAACATTTAGGGCCATGATCGATCCATTCCCCTCATATTCTGACCTCTTTCATGATCTCATTCCCTCAGTGATAACTAGAGGGAACTATTCTTCAATTATATACACTCAAGTCCCTACTATCCGGCTTTCCGTGAAGAAAATTCAATTTTCAAAACGACATTACATGGCTGAAAGCCAGAACTAAGGAAGAAAATTCCAACGCAATCATGATTCAGACAATAGCTGGCAGTGTTGAACGGGCATCTAACTACACAGGCATCAAAACGCTCAGGTACCACCCCAAGTGTTCGATTATGGATAAAATGACTCTGTATGTTTGCTCATCTTATGAGATCCAGTCAAAATCCCTCTAGGTTGCTTCCAGACGGCTAACGCCAAACTTCCGAGAAAAGAACAGTTGAGCCAACCGTATCCGTATTCACAGGGCCGTAGAGCTCAGTGGAGACCATTTGAAAGTTGAAATCATGTTGCTAATGGTCATCTGTCTCCGCATGACCAGCACGCTACTCCAGCTCAGGACGCAGGAGTACGGTCCAGTTAACCCCTTCGATGTCATCAACAGAGCAGTACCACAGAGCAGAACCGCAGAACCGGTTCACCAGATGAGGCCCGAGTACAGCGGTTGCCAGCTACATGGAGCAAGCATGGCAGTCAGCTAAACTGACAGAGTGGTCATCTGTAATTCTGGAAATAAGCGAGTAGTCATCTTAGCCAGCGGTGATAGGGATAAAACACATGGTTCTTGAACAATATGTGAGAATTGAGGCTAGGTATGTGGAGCATACATAAAGCATAACAATGTAGTTCTTACTAGTTTTGCTATCCAAATATTTTGCTGTTGTTCAATTCTTCCCTTGTCATTGTGACCTTCTTGTCTTGTTGGAATGTTCAATGCGCATATTGAGAGCCTGTTGTATTTTCGGGCAACACTTTATCTTGTCAGGTGTTGCTCATTAAGGATCCAGACATGATGGGTACACACGTAGCTTTCTATCGTCCTTGAAGACTCTCCGAATACAGAAAATCCATGATAGGGTTTCTTTGTCTTTTTTGGTTATTTCGATTTTTCTCCAGGAAGTGCAAAAATCCCTAAAGCGAACATGACCGTGTTCTCCGTAGAATATGTAAAAGAGAACTCCTTTTATCTCTTTGAGATGTTAGTGAGTGTAAACATCAGCTTCCACACGCACATACCAGGGCCATGCAACTTGCCAGCACTCGCGTATCTGACGCTTTCCGGCCACCAGCTTGGTCTCTCCACATATGCTGACCATTTAGCGTTTCTCATGATAGCAGCCCACTTATAAAGAAGGTCTCGACACATTCTTGCCCTGAGGCTGTTGAAGCCAGCTTGGTAAAGTTCTTTCAGTGTTCGAGGGGGTGAGAGTGACGTTCGCGAGCGCACTCGGCGAAAGAGCGCCAGCATTGCCTGCTCTGCTATGATGGTATCCTTCCCCTTAGCGTTGCTGACTAGCTCTGAAGATATATTATCAGTATTGCTTTTGACAGATCCCGGGCTACATACCATTTCCACTGTTTTTGATTTCCGTATGCTCCGCAGCATTTGCACCAGAAATTGCGAGGCCGTCGGTATGATTTACCACAGCCAAAGTAGTACGCAATATTGGATCGAACTTCGAAAGGATATCTGGAATGAATTGCGAGAACTTGACTTGATGTGTAACCGGCTTTTCATCAAGACCAGTTATTGCGCCTGTTATCGAGAATGCTCTTCGCCATGTTAATAGACGGAAAAAATCCATAGAATGCAGACTCACACGCAGTTATTGCTGGTACCATTATTAGTTTGGAGTATCTCTGGCAACGGATTGAAAACATACTTATTCTGGAAAATTACCCTTAGCCACCCAACGGTCGGGTTTTCACTTAAGCACGTGGCAACGCATGACTGTTCCAGCAATTCGTGAATCACTCCGGATTTCCGATAAAGCTTTTGCTTTGTCAGTTCCACAAGGGCACTGCGTTCGGGATACCATCTGTTTATAAGCATGGTTTCACTCAGGGTAATCAAGTCACCTACTTCCACGTTCCCTCAACGAAGCTGAATCCTTGCCACTTCATATAGAAAGGAAACCCTTTCAAGTCTGCCCGAGGTCCATCATAGGCCGGGCTTGCATCGATAATCCGACAGAATATTTTGTCCTTAATATGAGACTCGTCCACGAGGCAGAGGGATCCCTCGTTCGTCGTGTTGGGGGTGCTAGAGGGTTGTTCGTGCGTTTGCTTAGTCGCTTCGGTGGGGGTGTGGTGTTGGGGCTCCGGTAGTTTGGTGTAATCTGTGGGTAGCGTTCTGGCGCTTCTGTGTTCTCCGCGATCAGAGACCGAGGGTGGAGTTGACGACTGGTATTCCGATGTCGAGATAACGGGAACATATTCATTCTGGAGTCTTCAAGCAGAAATATGTTAGTGGGCTACTGAGAACCGCTGTAGTGGGTGATATTCCCCCGGTCTCTAATCCTGACCTGTCTTTTGGGTATAAGACATGCGGGCACTCGCTGTATGCCTGCGAATCTTCACGGCATTGTCTTTTATTGATCTCATCGGCATTTGTGGGGCTTGGCTCAGGCCTGACAAAGCTCGCTGCAATAGTTTCACCGTTATCGGATTGGAGGGATAGGCATGACTGGACGTGCTGGTTTTGCAAATCGTTGCTAAAGCTGAGATTGCGACCCCCCTTTGATTGGTCCATGGGGTCGAATGCCCGCAATTTGTACCTGCTCGAGAGCATCGCAGGCAAGGGTATTCTCCAGATATTCTAGAACTGCAGGAAGTACAGGCCCTCACAGCATTCCCTGTGGTGGTCAGCACGGGCCCAGGGCATCTTCGTCGGTAGTTTCATACCAGTCTTTGTCGCCTTGTTGCATGGTGTGCGTTTCCGTCGCGATTTCAGCTTGGAACCCTGTAGGGTCACATCTTTTATATCATCGGTCGATTCGTTTCCGTGGTAGGGAGGGTATAATCGCACCTGGGGATCGTAGTCTTGGTAATGCATGCTGATGGGAAAAGAAACGTTGATAATTCCGCGGTCACCGAAGTCCCGTAGGTCTAAGGGTGGATATGCTGAAGGCTTTGACTCGATAAAGATGGGAATTGTCCAATTCTCTAGCTTATTTGTGGAGGATCAGCATTGCACCGGTAACCTGAACGGAAGGCTCATCGTACACTGTTGGCCCTGACCAGCCAGGAGGTCTACTATATCGGGGAACTCGTAGCTTTTCAGAGGGAGATCGGTGAAGTTGGCTGATGATTGAGGGTATATCTGAGGTCTGGAAAATTGTGTGCTAGACACGGACTGAGAGCCAGCGTTTTCTGAGGTGGTTTAGTAAGGATGGTGAGGTGTAGGCATGGCGGAAGTTGATGGGAAAAGAAAGACTGGATGGTGGCTGCTTTTAATTGGAGTGAGAGAGCAGCGGCAGGAAATTCACTAGCCGTGAACTAAGCAATGGTTGCATGCATGGTTAAGATAAGACTGCTGGTGGTTTGGCGCACAAGCAATGGTCCCGCGACGATTCGGTGCAACAGAAGCAATAGTCATTTGAAGGGGCCTGTAGACCTGCCTTCTTTGGCTCGCTCTGCTTCACTTTCCAAGCCAGTAAATATTGCTTTCCCATGGCGTGAATCAAGGTTTGGTTAGGATTGAAAACTTTGTTTATTCCTGGTAGTCTTTTGCTATTTCATTCTGCATCAAGTGCCAGTATTCTAGCTCT